GACGCTCTTGTGTGGACTTTTACTGTTTTGCATATTGAAGATTAGAGGTAGGGCTAAATAATAGTTTACGTGCATTTATGGTCGTACTTGTCTTAGACCTCAATCTTTTCTTTGGTGGAGTTGTCCTATATTTATGGTCTTTCTTTTCTTTTTGTTGCACTCATGGTGATTTCAATGTGTATAGAAGTCCTGATAAGAAATGAGGAATTTTAATGACTTTATTTGGGAACGTAAGTTATGCGCTTTTCTTCCTGTAGATGCTCAATTCACTTAGTCTTTAGGTAGTCTTTAGGAGCAGCCATATCTCTGCATATCTATCAATTTTCTATTGCTAATGTTTGGAATAGGATTTGATGCTACACGATAAGATCCTACTCTGGAATTGTTAGAATATTATAGAATATTCCCTATACGTAATAATATGATTATCTTTGTAAGTATGTAAGTGCAATTAGGAAGAAAATTATTAAGATAATTTATCTTGGTTACTATATATGAATCCGTATACATATATATATTCCTACTTTTATTTCAATAAAACACGAGTAAATATTTAGTATTCATTTCCCTAATTCTTATATGGTATCGGAGTTAGGGTTTTAGAGTCAAAATTATATCAGTGCAAAAGAAGGATTGAACAACCCATTTCCGGCACCGGAGAAAGACAACTACCGATCTCTGGTCAGTTCAGAGTGCAGTCAGCACGGTGGTGTACACAAGAGAAGTCGAGGAGACGGTTTGCCCGACAGATTGAGGTAGCGTGCGTCGGGTTTGTTGGAGGAGCGCATTCTTGTACATGTTGGTTTCCCATTCAAGGAAAGAAGCCACAGAGGAGCTTGGTCGGCCAGTATTGTGCATGAAATCAGAAGGCCAAAGAAGGGAAAGCGGCGGTGGAGCACATCGCGCAACAGCAAGCGATTCTCCGCTCTCTGGCGCGATTTGGGGTGTTTCTGCGAGTGCCATTCCTGATTAGGGTGAGCATTGGAGTTCTGTGGTGATATCCAGCCAAAAGAATGCTATTTGATGGTTTTCGGTGGCAGTGCGTTGTTCTCCGATGTTGGTGTGTGCGGCGGCGCAGATTCTCCGGTGGTTGGCAGTGAGCTTCTGATAGGGTTATTGATAGCCGTGTGTGAAGAGATACTTTATTTTCTCAAATTTTCTAATATATTTGCAGTGTTTTTGGTGTATCTCTACCTCCTGTGTTTGGATATTTTTGGATGATAATATGTGGGTATTCTTGAGTTAAAAATGTGTGATAATAAGTTTTCAGTGAGTGAGATAATCCCCACTATGTTAAAAATCATTAGACATAAATTAAATGGTACAAATTATCGGAAGTGGAGCAAAACTATTAAGGTTTTAGGTATAAATGGAGAAGGTGGATTATTGCATATCTTTCCTTTCCTACTTTTGTTGTTTTGGTCAATAGCAAAACTAGTGATTGGTTTGATCATCAATGGGATTTGAGGAGAAATTATCCATTGTCCGTTTCCTCTTTGTAATCATTGTTTATGTTTTAAAAGCTTGATGCTTTCCCGAGTGTTGAAGAGAGCACTCTTAGAGGGCCTTAGGTTTGTTAAGATGGTGTGAAGGTTTCCCACCTTCAAGCTGCTGATGATATGATATTGTTCCTTCCTTCTGATCTTAGGAAATTTTAATGGGATTACCATCTTGCACCTTTGTTTTAGAATATTTTCAGGTTGAAGATTAACTCAGTAAAAGTGGCCTTGCAGATATTAACATCAAGAATCGGCGAGGGACCTACCTGATTATATGGGATCTGAAGTACTCTAATGCCCTTTATTTATGAGACCGAGGAGGGAGCATGTTCTCCATTAGGGGACGGTTGCTCTTATTCAGTCTTTGCTTCGTTAGTACTCCCCTCTATTTTCTCCATAGAGCCGTGGCTAATAGAATTGAAAAGGTGATGAAATCTTTCCACTAGTCAGTCCAGGTGAGCCTGAGAAAGAGACCATTTGGTTAGTTTGGACAAATGTTGTCTGTGTAAAGAAGATGGTGGTCTTGGCATTGGGAATCTTTTTTTTTTTTATTTTTGCAAAAACATGCGTTCTTCTGGTTACGGAGGTTTGCTTTTGGAACTGAATTTTTTATGACAAAGGGTCATCAAGAGTTAATTTGGTCTTTACCAAAATGGATGAGATTTCAAGACAGATGTTTTGACTACCTACATGAAAGGTGATTTCCAGTCATTATTCTTCTTTTTCACCCTTACTTCAGTTGAGATAGAGGATGGTTCCCTTATCCTTTCTTGGAAGGACTCCTAGATAAAAAATGCTTCACTTGCTTCCTGCTTCCTTATACCTTATAGACTCTTTAGAAATTAGAATTTTCCAATTTCCTTTTTTGGTTAGTCTAGTGGCATCCAATTTTATAACTTTTCCTTTTTTTTCAGAAATTTTAATAATAGGGAGATTGTGGATATGACTAATATTCTTCATTTGTTGGATTTTTGTTGTCTTTTCTAATAACTCTAATTGTTGAATGTAGTAGAGTCCTATGTACTTTCTTTTGTAAGTTCTATCTATTTTTTATTCACAATCCCATTACTCAGAATCTCTCTTTTTAAGTCCTCATGGAAAGCTTCAAACTGCTTTTAAGGAAATAGTTTCTATTTGGAGTCTGATTTTGGGCAGGTCTGATACTAATGTGCATTAGCTTTGTAGATAGAATTATGCCTTCCTCCAGGCGTTTGTATGATGTGTTACATAGTTGCAGATACACATAACCACCTATCTTTGCATTGTTAAGTGGCTGGGACTATCTAGACTCCTGTTCTTGAGAACTTTGGTTTCTCTTGGGCCATTCCTATAAATATCTTTCTTTCCTCTCTTTGGTTCTGATGGTTCCAGTGACAAAGAAGGACTTCAAGTCTCTTTTGGGTTTGGGCTATCTTTGCCAGTGGGTGGGTTATTTGGCTGGAGAGGTATGTAAGAAGTTCTGGACTAAGCCTTTTATGATTATATGAGATAAAGTTTGTCTGTTGGCATATGCTTAGGCTAAGACTAACAAATGTTTTAAGGATATTTCTCTTTCAGTTTTGTATAGGAATTGGCTGGCTATTCTTCCAAATGCTTAGCTAGTCTTTCTCCGTCTCCATTTTTTTTTAAAAATTTTTGTTTTTTTTGTTTGCTAAAGGATACCTAATCCTCTTAATTAGTATCTTCCTATTCTCAATGGTAACTCGTGTTTTCCAATCCAAAAAGAAAAAAAAAACTGGAAAAACCACCGAGTATACACTTGTTTTTTGCTTTTGGTGGCAACATTCGGTTTGGATGAATCATTATCAGACATTTTCTTCCACATTGTTTGTGCAAAAAAATCTTTTTAGTCGGGTTATTCTCCTTTAGGTTTTCCTTTTGAGTGTTCCTCTTTATTTTCTATCTTTGCTCATAATCAATTGGTATAGCTAACAGAGTTGAGAAAATTATAAGAGATTTCTTGTGGTTCGGGGTGGGAAAGTTTTGAGAGATCACTCAAATGAGATTTAAAAGTTCAAAGGAGCTTGGGTAAGGGAATCTTGTAATCAATAACTTGCCGTTTTGACTAAATTTTGGAGCCTTTTCTACTGTGTTATTAATAGAATGAAAATGAGTAAATTTGGGGTTGTTCCAGAACAACAGGGATGGTAGCCGCTTCTACCACCGCTAACAGAAGGCCCTAGAACTTTATTTCAGGTACATAGGTCCTGCTTTCCCATTAGTTCCTAGTATGGTGGGCGATGACTCCTATTTCTCTTCTAGAAGGATCACTGGAGGAGAGAATTACCTTTACCATATTTTTTTCTCATGTATTCTCTTTTCTAGGCATTTTGCTCCAATATCTACTTTTATGAATTATCTAAAAATCAGCTCTATTGGAGTTTTTCTTTTTTCAAAATTTGTATTTATTTATTTTTCTCTAATATGAAAAATGGAAAAAACAAAGGATTTGATGTCTTTGATGAACATTCTTGACAATTTTTATATGTTCACACCTATAGATCTGTTTTTGAAGTTTCTCATGGGCAATCCTAATATCTATATCAATGTCCCATCCCATAATTTTGAATCTAAATCTCTCAGTAAGATAAGAGTTTTGTTATGGACTTCCGTTCATAATAGAAGTAATACCTTTGATATCCTCCGAGCTTAGAAACCTCATAGAGCTCTTTGTCCTGTTATTTGTTTGATTTGTTCTTTCATAGTTCAGAGCACAACAGTTCACCCTTTCCCTCCATTTTCCTAAGTCACGGAATGTGTAATACATTATTTTATTTGTTCAAGGTTGAGTCCGTCCCACTAACTTGATTGTTAATAGAGTAGGTATAGCGACAGGTGAGGAGCATGGAGTGTTGTGAAGAGGCTTAGTTTTATTGGTTTGTGGTAATTTGGTGAAAACAGAATGCAAGAACTTTTAGGTGTAATTTTCTACTGCATTGCGTGGTTTGGAGATTCCTTTCTTTACTTTGCAAAGGAATTGGAATTCTGTTATGTCTGGAGGCTTTCTTATATCTCTTTCTTTCTTTTTTACATTTCTTCATTTTTTTATTGGAGGTCACCTTATCCTCTCATCTTTTATACATTCCCTCTCTTTAATAAATTTCTTGTTTTACAAAATAAAAAAAATAATTTCAAGACATTTGGTTATGATGTTGGTTATGAGCTCTAATGTTTTTTTTTGAGGAAATACAAAACTCACAAGCTCAAACTCATAGTACTTGTGAAAATTTTGACATCCAACTTAAAAATCATGCTCATGTGAATCCAACTCCTAATAGGGTATAACTTTCAAGGGGACTGGTATAGTTTATGAAGAAATGGTTGTTACTTGCATGCTCTCTTGTGTTCTCACTAGTGATGTCAAATTTTGCAGAGGGAGTGATAGCAGGTGGTACGGCAGGTGTTGTTGTTGAAACGGCTTTATACCCAATTGATACAATAAAGACACGTCTCCAGGTAGGTTAAGTTGTAGCTATTTAAACATGTTTTTTAATGAAAAAGAAGTAATATTAGTTAAAAAAGAACATGTGCAGGCAGAGGATAAGAAATCCTCTTAGCCAACAGAAATGGAAAAAAGAGAAAACCATATAAAAAATCAATAAACAACGTCTGTTGGTTCTGCAAAATAGCTGAAGAAGATATCCCTAAACAAACAATAAGCCCTAGTCCGCAAAGAAGTAAAGAAAGTCATTCTAGCCCGGGAAAAATGATGAAGGGGAGTACCTGCTCTTGAAGAGTCTATCGTTTTGCTCAACTACAGTCCCCATGAAGAAAACAAAAAGAGTTCATCTCTATAGCACCACCACCTTAGCTTGTTTCTTCACCCCCACTCCCCTAGAAAACAATCTAGGGAAGTGGGGGGACGATAATCCATAAAGGACATTAGGACTCAACCTTCTTTAATGACATAGAGGACATTGATGGGAGAGCGGATTAGGTTCCAATAACCTAACTAGATTAGGAATTACATATTCTTCTAAAATATAAAACTATTATTGCTTTAGGATTTTTTTTTTTTTTTAGGTTTTAAGTTTTTCTTCCCTTATAAGCATTAGTATTTCTTATTTTTAAATGGAAAATGGGTTATGTTAGACAAAAGTGAAAATATACAAAACCAAAGGAGGAGAATCCTCCTAAGAAAGACAAACAAAAAACAAGATATATCATGATACCATAGCACTTCATAAGAAAGACAAACAAAAAACAAAATATATCATGATAACATAACACTTCAGTCCCTTTGCAAAGTAGACGAAGTCTTTAGCCCACAATTATGAGAATATCATCCTATCTCCAAAAGAAAAAAAAAGATTTTCTAACCCGTGTGTGACATCTCATATACTAATTAAAGCATTAGGGTGTCAAATATAAAAACAAATATGAGTGCATTTAAAATAATTATATGCAGCTGAATAACATATTACAATCTCTTACAAAATAATAATAGAGTTCTAAATCTTATAATACTGAGGCGAAATAAAATTAAATGCAAAACTCTACAAAGTTGAATTCATCAGAGTGTGGAACAAAACATGCATTCGTAACGGTTCATGGATCCATAGGATCCTCAAAAGTTTCAATAGGTGGGTCAACGATCCGTTCCTCAGTATCGTCCTCATCTGAGAGAGGTAATGAAAATGAGTGAGTTCCACATACTTAATAAAGAAAACAATATTTAAATAACATCACTAAGATTTTAAAAATAATTAAACTTATAAAGGTTAACATATTTACTTACCATCGAAAATCGTGTTAGAGGTATGTTTCAATAATTATGAAAATAGTTTACTTTATTTAAAGAAAATATTGATATCAAGTCAATCATGTTAAATCATGTCATAATCAAATGATAATAATAATATCTATCATGTCATTTATGTCAATCATGCTGTAATTAAATAGAAAAATCAAATAAATCATATTATGCTTTTATCTTATTATATTATTCGTGCGAAATCGTTCCGACTTCCATCTATCGAGAGCAATACAGATTTCCGGCTACCTATGTAAAATGACCAATTCATTTCATATCATTTCAGCAATTTTGCTATTTGTTAAAGCATAATACATTTACGACTTATTAAATTATGACACGATTTATGACCACGGCCGTGTCGACTACAATGGTCCTACATGTAAACTATAGTCATGACTGTATGTCGCTAAAAGTGACCCCTACAATCATATTGCATCACCACTCTCGTCAGACGGTACGCTGTCATCCACAGGAAGTGGTCATTTTACGCATTTTCAAATCAAATGGGGGAGAAACAGAACCCCTTAGAAATAAAAATGCTAACGAATCATATTATTTATATACCATACATGCCAATATCAATAACTATTTATCATGTTTACAATACAACATTATGCTTCATTACTTTATCATGTCATTGCATACACTTCATCTACTTATCTATACATATAATATAAACATGCATTAACATATAACATATGTGTAAGTAATACTAAATTATAACAATAATTAAACATGCAACCAACCGGTTAATATTCCATTTTATTAATCTAGAAATGCTCCTTAGAATGTAAAGATAAATATCAAATTCCTTACCAAAAGCTTGAAGTTTTTCCTACTTAATTTTTCTTCAATTTCTTCCTCTTCTCTCTCTAGCTTTCTTTCTCTCTCTAGAATTTCTTTGGTGAATGGAAGAATGAAGTTTGAGTGGTGAAGAAATGGTGGAAAAAGGGTCCCAATTTATAGAAAATGGGGATCTTTAGATTTGTGCCAAATTGCAAAATCCAGTGAGGAGAGAGAGAGAGAAAAAGTCACATAATGTGACGTGACGACTGACGGACGCGACTGACGGATGACTGATGCGACGACAGCGGCAACCCGACAGGGGTATGAAAAACAAAAAAATACTTGACGAGGGACAGGCATGCCCCTCCAAATGGCAACGACACATTGTCCGAATGGAAGTGCACTCTCCCCAATGGGCGGTGCCCGCTGCCTGAGGGCACCTGCTGCGCGTGCTGGCTTGCCATGCGTTGGCTGAGGGCTTGCTCATGCAGGTGCGCGCACATGGCGCGAGGAGCTGTGCACCTATCTGTGCGCGATATGACGCGTGTAGACTGCATGCCTCGCGCCCCATGTGGAGGGGACTTGCGCGCATGTGGGCATGGTGCCTGGGTTCCGCACGGACGGGAAACGTTTCCCGTGGCCCTTTTCGCGGGATTTTTTCGCCGTTTTCCTTCTCTATTTTTCCTAAAATCTTTTAAAATTAATAAAATAATTAAAATAAATAAATAATTATTTAATTAAATAAGTAACAAATATGTTAGTTTGCAAAGACATGAAAATTAAATTTAAATCCGATTTTATTCGAAAATCAAGACATAAATATTAAAGAGTTAATGACTTTAGCACCTCAATAATTAGAGATTTTAGACAACAATTAAGCGTAAAGGTTTAGAGGGTGTTACACTGTGGTTTTCTTTAGCATTTTATATTAGTATTCTATGTTAAAGAAAGTGTATTATGTAAATTTAGGTTAAAGAATGCAAGGGTAAAATACACCTTATGTAATTAATTGTCTATTTTCTTTTATATTATGAAAAATCTGTATATATTGGTTTTGATATTCAATAAAATACATATTTAAACGCCTTCCTCCATGTAGACTTAGAAGAAGAAACATGAAGATTCCTCTAGGTTTTGTCGATAAAGCATTGCAAAATAAAAGGTGTAAACTGAAGAAGATCCTCTATAAAATCAAGCAATCACCAAAATCGTGGTTTGACAGATTCATATGAGTGATGATAAGCCTGAGAGGCCAAACTTTATTTATCAAGTACTGAGTGATTGAGGAAGTTATAGGTTTCTTAGTATATGTTGATGGTATTATTGTAAAATGAGATAATGAGAAAGAAAAATTAGTGCTAAAACAATTGTTAACAAGAGAATTCAAAATCAAGGAGTTGAGTAAGTTGAAGTATTTCCTCGAAATTGAAGTCACCTACTCAAAATCTATACATCTTCATTTCTCAGCCAAAATGCATTCGTAATCAGTTAAGAGATACTAACAAATTAGTATGTAAACCAATTAGTACTCCTCTTAATCCCAACCATAAATTAGAAATAACAGAAGAATATACACAAGTAGATAAGAAGATGTACCAGAGATTAGTTAGAAATTAATATACCTGTCTTATACGAAATTAGATATCATCGATGCAGTAAGTGTTAGAAATCAGTTCATGCACAACTCCAAAGAAAAGTACTTACAAGTAGCCTGTAGAGTGTTGCATTACCCAAAGGAGTCACATATGAAAGGGATCTTGTTCAAAAAGAGTATTAAATTGCTCTTAAAAATCTATAAGGATGCAGATTATGTATAGTCAGTTATGGACATAAAATCTACCACAGGTTACTGTATTTTCTTTGGGAGTAATCTAGTTACCTAGAGGAGCAAGAAGCGAAATGTAGTTCTTAAATGAAGTGCATGAATCAAAATTTCAAATAATGGCTTAAAGGGTATGTGAACTATCGTGAATAAGAAGAATTTTAAAAGATCTAAGAATCAAGTAGGAGAATGCCATGTGTCTATACTACGACAATGAATCAGTAATAAGTATTACACACAATCTGGTACAACATGATTGGACTAAGCATATCGAGGTCGATATGTAGACGTTTGGAAAAATTTTTTTACTTTATTTTCACTATATATTTTGATGTTACAGGCAACACATGTATATACAAAATTTCTAAATACAAATAGAAAAATTACCCTTATAGCAGGGATTCTAAATAATTACAACATTATGAGAGAAATTAATGGTAATAACTATATAGGAAAAACATAATTATTTAAGAAATAAAATATTCATGTCAACACTCCTCAAATTAGTGCAAATATATCATACATGCTCAATTTGCATATCAAGTTCTAAAGAGTTTTGTTACAAAGTCTTTTAATGAAAATATCCGACATCTGATTGGTAGAAGACACATGATATAAGTATAAGGAGCCATCAACCACTTTCTCTTTTATGAAGTGATAATTAATCTCAATGTGTTTTGTTTGATCATGTTGAACTGGATTTTGGACAATACTAATGACTGTTTTATTGTCACAAAACAATGATAGACTTCCTTTTTTAAACAGTTTTAATTTCTACATTAGTTTTTGCAACCATTATAATTCATTTACCCCTTGAGCCATTGGTTTATATTCTGCTTCAGCATTAAAACAGGCAACTACTCTCTATTTCTTATTTTGTCATATAACCAAGTTGCCTCCAATGAGTGTCCAGTAACTAGTAGTTGACCTTCTATCATATGGAGATCTAGCTCAATTGGCATATGTAAATGTTTCTATTTTAAGGTGCCTATTTTTAGAGAAGAGAAAACCTTTTCTTGGTGCAGATTTCAAATATTGTAATATTTGAAAGACCGTAAATGAGTCTCGTAAGGATCATGCATGTACTGACTCACCAGGCTAATAATGTATGTTATATCTGGTCTGGTATGTGAGAGATAAATGAGTGTTTCAACCAATATCTGATATCTTCCCATGTCAACTGATGTACCACTACCAACTTATAGTTTGTGATTACTTTTAATAGGAGATTCTGTTGGCTTACAACGCATCATATCAGTCTCTTTTAACATGTTTAGGATATAATTTTTTTGAGAAATGAAGATTTCTTTATTAGACCTGACAATCTCAATTTTCAGAAAGTACTGCAATTTTACTAAATTCTTGATTTCAAATTTTTGAGTAAGAAGTTTTTTTTAATTGAGTCATCTCCTTTGTATCATCTGCAGTCACAACATTATCATTTGCATAAACAATGAGAAGAATGATCCTACCATCACAATGCTTGATGAACAGGTATGATCAACATTACTTTGCTGATATTCGAAAGA